GGATTTAGGAGACAAAGGTAGACTGATCTCTGTTAGTTCAAAGCCATACTGAGCTATACAAGATTGATCCAGCCTAAGGGGGAAACAGCTCACACACAAAGGTGATTCTAGCACTTGGGATCACACATCTTTAATCCCAGGACTAGCTTGGTGAAGACAGGAGTGATATGGCTGGGTGTAGAGAGGTATATAAGGAAGAAGCAAGACAGTCTCAGAGATTTATTCTCCAGCCACACTGAGGACTAGACAGCCCTTTCAGCCTGAGGTGGTTGGCTGCTTTGCTTTTCTGATCTTCACCTTGAAGCTTAAACCCCAATATCAGTCTCTGGGTTTTTATTTTTTGTTTTACACACTGAGAAAATTTAGAATTATGTTCAAGTCCTGAGTAGGGTATGCTGTGTGGTTGGTCATCTCAGCCAGCAGTCCTGAAGCTGTTGTGGATGTTGGATCACCTGGGCCATCATTTCAGGGGGGTTTGTTTGATCAAAACATGTTAGCTTGAAAGGAATCCACAGATTCTCATCTTCTGTGGAAACAATAACAGAACCTCTTTTCCAAAGCAACATATCCTTAGATCTAAATTTTGAAGTCAAGATACCTTTAAGATATGTTGGTTTAGCTTAGCAGCCCCCATAATCAAATGTCTCTCTGTAGTTAACGTATTAACAGTCAAAATATTCAAAGAAAGCATAATAATATACATAATCCAGACTCTGTATTTTCCATTTTTACATGGCCCATTATAATTATTTAACTCTGTTTGTCCTTTAAGGACATCAGCTTATTATCCTTAAATTATTTTTTTTAATCTATGACTCTGTCTTTTATTCATTTATTTATTTTGGGTTTTTCGAGACAGGGTTTCTCTGTGGCTTTGGAGGCTGTCCTAGAACTAGCTATTGTAGACCAGGCTGGTCTCAAACTCACAGACATCCGCCGGCCTCTGCCCCCCGAATGCTGGGATTAAAGGTGTGCATCACCACAGCCCGGCTCAAGATTTATTTATTATGTACACAGTGTTCTGTCTGCATGTATGCCTGCAAGCCAGAGGCCAGAAGAGGGCACAAGATTTCATTACAGATGGTTGTGAGCCACAATGTGGTTGCTGGTATTGAACTCAGGACCTCTGGAAGAGCAACCAGTGCTCATAACCTCTGAGACATCTCTCCAGCCCCTATGACTCGGTCTTCTATCCTCGCCCATGTACACTTATCAAACACTGTGACCCATTTAGAGGCCTTTTTTGTCTGCCTCTATTTTTATTGCATATCTATCTGTAATCCTTTTTGACCAGGAGAGTTTTTAAAATGGTAAATGGGCTTGGCTAGGACTAAAGAGGCTGACTCCACCCCATTCCTTGGCTTCCTGAGAGTCTAGCTTCATGGTGGAGGTATTGGTGGGAGCCATGTGTATCACTCCTAACTCTGGGGAGGTTTTAGGTCCATGCTGTAGGCTGCTCATAAAGTCCATATGAGTGTTTGGAATCAGAGCCTCTTAAAAAGCTCTAAGGGCTTTGCTTCTAACGCTGAGTTAAGAAATCTCTTAAAGGACCCGAGCCTCTGCTTGCCTCTAACAGAGTCCACCTGAGAAAATGTTGCTACCAAGAAGCTGTATTTGACTCTGTTCTTTTGTGTTTAAAATCCTTTTTTAAGCTTTTGTCAGACGTGTAGTTGGAGGTTATTTATTTATTTATTTTTCAGTCTTGTCTGGTCCCACTGGACCAGTTTTTCTCCCACCCACTGGTGCCCAAAGCTGCTAATAAAATAATCACTCTGAGACTTAAAATTAATTATAATTGTTTGGTCAATGGCTCAGGCGTATTACTGAGTAGCTCTCAAAATTGAATTAGCCCATTTCTATTATTCTATATTTTACTACGAGGTTCATGTTTGTTACCTCATATCTTACTTCCCTGGTGGCTACATGGCATCTCACTGACTCTGCCTTCTTTTTCTCTCTCTCTCTCTTTGGATTTCCCAACTAGCTGTATTCTGCCCTGTCATAGACCAAAACAGCTTTATTCGTCAACCAATAAACTCAACACATATTTGCAGCAAGCAAAAGGATGTCTTACATCAGTTTCTCTGCATAACATCCCTGGCTGTCTGGAATGTACTTTGTAGACCAGGCTGACCTCAAAGTTCCAGACATCTGCCCACCTCTGCCTCCCAAGTGCTGGCATTAATGACATGGGCCACAAGGCCTGGTAGTCTACTTATTTTTTAAGGATTTATTTGGGGTGGGGGCGGTTATGTGTACCACTCAAATTCAGGTACTTGTAGAAGCCAGAAGAGGGCATTGGGTCCCTGAAACTGGAGTTACACGCAGTTATGAGCAACCAGATAAAGATAGGTTCTGTGAATTCAAATTTGATTCTCTCTGCATGAACAGCAAGTGCTCTTAACCATGAGCCCTCTCTCCAGTCCTCCTCCCCCCCCCCAGCTTGGTATTTTGCTCTTCCAAATGACCTGTGGGGATTTTGCTCTTCCAAATGACCTGGGTACAATTCCCAGTACCCACATGGCAGCTCACAACTGTCTGTAACTCCAGTTCCAGGGGATCCAACACCCTCACACATATATGTGAGCAAAACACCAATGTACATAAAATACAAATAAATAACTTTTTAAAAAAAGAAAAGACTATGTCAGAATGGATTGGAAAGGATCTCATGAACTCCACCCCCAGGTGATAGCTGCTGAAGTGGTAAGGTCAGTTTTCTTCAGGGGTTCAGGCCCAGATAGGCTCCTTTGCTTGAGCAGATGGTCCTACACCCATGCTCATACAGGCGGCACCAAATGTATTCAGGGGGTATTTAAAGATAGAGAGACATATACACATGAGTTTGGGAGAGAAAATTACTGGTTGGTTAATAAAAGAGGAATTAGAGAGGAGGGGATAGAGTTGGATTTGATTGAAATGCATTATATACATATAGGAAAATTATATCTTTTTATTTTGTTTTTGTTTTGTTTTGTTTTGTTTTTCAAGACAGGGTTTCTCTGTGTAGAACTGTCCTGGAACTCACTCTATAGACCAGGCTGGCCTTGAACTCACAGAGTGCTGGGATTAAATGTATGGGCCACCACCGCCTGGCTAATACTAAATCTTAAACAAAAACAAAATAAAATAAACAAGGACTAGAAAGATGATTCAGTGATTAAGAGAAATGGTTGCTCTTCCAGAGGACTTGACTTTGATTACCAATAGCTACATGGTGGCTCATAGCCATCTATAACTCTAGATACAGGGGATCTGATACCTTCTTTTCACCTCTTCAGGCACCCACACTTGCCGAGAGAGAGACAGAGAGAGAGAGAGAGAGAGAGAGACGGGAGGGACTTGGATTGGGAGTACAGCTCTGTGGTCAAGCACTTACCTACCATGGGTGAAGCCCTAAGTTCATTTCCACCAATGGAGGGTGGGGTGGGTGGTGGCTGACATGAATGCTAATTTGAGGGGGCTGTTTTGTTTTTGTTTTAGGTTTCTTTCTTTTTTAATTGTTGTTTGAGACCAGACCTTACTATGTATCCTGTTGGCCTGGAACTCAGTATGTATACCAAGCAGGCCTTAAGGTGTTTTTATTGTTGTTTTGGTTGGTTTTTGTTTTTAGAGACAGGTTTTCTTGGTGTAACAGCCCAGGCTTTCCTGGCACTTGCTCTGTAGACCAGGCTGACCTCAAACTCACAGAGATCCACCTGCCTCTGCCGCCTGAGTGCTGAGATTAAAGGTGCATGTCACCGCTGCTTAGCTTGATGAAGTGTAGTTGTTTTCTTTTCTTTTTTGGTTTTTCGAGACAGGTTTCTCTTTGTAGCTTTGGAGCCTGTCCTGGAACTAGCTCTGTAGACCAGGCTGGCCTCAAACTCATAGAGATCTACCTGTCTCTGCCTCCCAAGTGCTGGGATTAAAGGCATGTACCACCATCACCCTGCCTATAAATTGTATTTTTTTTAAGTGACCTAGAGAGATGACTTAATGGTTAAGAGCACTGGCTATTCTTTCAGTGGACCTGGGATTGATTCCCAGAACCCACGGGGCAGCTTACAAATATCTGTAAATGTAGTTCTGAGGGATCCAGTAGCCTTTTCTGGCCTCTGAAGGCACTGCATGCAAATGCTTCACAGACATAAGTGCAGGCAAAACATCCATACACATACACACACACACACACACACACACACACACACACAAAAGAAAAGAAAACAAAAACAAACCATCCATACACGTGAAATAGAAATCAATAAATATTTTTAGATGACCTACCTGTATACTATGTAAGAAATGAACTTTAAATATGAAAAACAAATTGGTTAAAGAAAAAATGGAAAAAGTGTTATGGTGGAAGCTAGGTTTCTTTCTACACCTTAATAAGCCTCTCTGCCAATGCAGCAATCCAAATCAGACCAAATCAAACCTAATTAGAAAAAGCCCATGTTTAATGGATTCAACACTCCCAGATGGCCTTCCAGGCCCCCAGAGAGGAGACAGGAAAAAGAGACTGGAAAACCACATGTCTTTTTTTCTCGGGAGCAGTTTATATACCCTGAAAGACTGGTCTTGAGCATCTCTGTGGGAGGGGCAATCATTTGGTGGGCTTTCTGAGATGCAGCAGGGTTTAGAGGGACATAGGAGAGGGGGCTTGGATAGAACTTCCACCATAACATTCCAGACTCTTTGGGTACATGGATGCCAGGGGCTGGGGTGACGCTTCTACCATAACAAAAAGAACAAACCATATTAACACTAATGAAAGATCTACAATGGATATTTTCACAATGGACCAAGTACATGTCAGGGTAAAGATTGTCACCAGGTATGAAAAAAGTTGATTTACTATGAGGACATAACAAACTTCAAAATACATACAAGTAACTAGGTATGGTACACATCCTTCTCATCCCAGCACTCAGGAGGCAGAGAGGCAGATCTCTATGAGATCCAGGCCAGCCAGGGCTACGTGGTGAGAACCTGTCTTTAAACACAGGGTCTGAGAGACCAAGATGGCTGGGAGATTCTCCACCTTCCTCAAGGGAAGGGAACCAGTACTTGTGGTGTTCACCACCAATGGGAACCTCACTATAATTATGTCCTCTCTGGGCCTTGACATCAAGTATGGCAACAGCATCAAACCAGCCACACCCTACAATTACTCAGTGCCTGTGAGAGAGAATGGGAACATGCCTGATGTGCCTAGCCACCCTCAGGACCCTCAGGGCCCAAGCATGGAAAAGCTAAAGAATGATGAATACTCCCATAGATAGAAGAAACCCCACCCCCATTGCCCTAATAAACATGTGAAAACCCAAAAGAAATATAAACATACATACATACATACATACATACATACATACATACATACACCGAAGATATGGCTCAGTGGTTAAGAAAATGTACTGGTCTTCTGAAGGATTTCAGTTTAGTTCCCAGCACCCACATCAGGTGGTTTATAACTGCCTGTGACCACAGCTGCAGGGGATCCAACACATCCGGCCTCCACAGACACATATGCATACACATGGTTAGAAATAGCAAAAATAAAAAGAATACAAGTGTAGAAAGAACTAGGAGGCTGGACAGCAGTGATGACATACAACTTTAATCCCAGTACTCAGGAGGCAGAGACTGGTGGATCCCTGTGAGTTCAAGGCCAGCCTGGGCTACAGAGTGAGTTCCAGGACAGCCAAGGCTACACAAAGAAAAACAAAAACAATGAATTCAGGACAGACTCCAAAGCAATACAGAAACCCTGTCTCAAAAAACTAAAAAAAATAAAACAAAAAGAAAAGAAAAGAGGGCCTGGAGAGATGGCTCAGCAGTTAAGAGCATTGGCTGCTCTTCCAGAGGATCTTAGTTCAATTCCCAGCACCCACATGGCAGCTCACAACTGTCTGTAACTCCAGTTCCAGGGTATCTGACACCTTCAAACTAATGCACATAAAATAAAGTTAAATAATTTTAAGAAAAAACTAGAAGAAATGTATAACATGTTTTTAGCAGAAGATTTAATGCCCCCTTCTCATTAACAGATAAGCTAGCTGTCAGAGCCCAGCATGGATAAAGATGTGGCTACCACTGCCAAATAGCTTGATAGAACCAACATCTCTAGAAAATGTTATATAGGTGAAAAATTCAGTTACCAAATGAGATAGCAACAAATTTTTAAAAAATATTTTATTTATTTTTTATTATGTATACAGTCTTCTGCCTGCATGCCAGCAGAGGGCACCAGATCTCATTCAAGGTGGTTGTGAGCCACCATGTGGTTGCTGGGAATTGAACTCAGGACCTCTGGAAGAAGTCATGGATAGCAACAAATTTTAAAAGATTCATTCTCACCAAGCAGTGGTGGCACATACCTTTAATCTCAGCACTCAGGCAGCTGAGGCAGGAGGATCTCTGTGAGTTTGAAGTCAGCCTGGTCTATAGAGTACATTCTAAGACCACCAGGGCTACACAGAAAAACCCTGTCTCAGAAAAAAAAAAAAAAACATTAAACTAGAAGTGAAAAAAGAAGTATTTCTAGAAATTCTCCACAGATTTGGAGGCTAAGTGACATTCCTCTAAGTAGTGTATAGTTTAGAACCATCAGGATGGAAATCAGAAACTGTTGTGTGTGTATGTGTATGTCTGTGTATATATGTTTGTATGTATGCATGTATGTGCATTTGTATGTGTGTATGAATGTGTATGCATGTATGTGTATGTATGATTGTGTATATATGTATATATACATATTTATATGTACATGTGTTTACATATGCATATCTATCTGTTTGTTTATTCATTAGAGTGGCTTGCAGACTATGTGGTCTAACTTGTCCAACAATGTCTGTCTACCAATGGAGAGTCCAAGAATCCAGGAGTTGTTCAGTCCATGAGGCTGAATGTCCCAGCTGGTCTTCAGCATACACTGGAATCCTGAGGAAGTAGGCTCCAAGCCAGTGAAGGAATAGACTTTCAAGATGGAGGGCAAGCAGGCAGAGTAAAAGCTTCCTTCTTCCATGTCCTTTGCATATGATGCCACCAGAAGGTATAACCTGACTGAAGGTGGATCTTCCTCCTCAAAAATCTGGATTGAAGATGAGTCTTCCCACTTCAAATGGATTTCTTTAAGAAAAATCAGGGCTGGAGAGTTGGTTCAGTGGTTAACAGCACTGACTGTTCTTCCAAAGAACCGGGGTTCAATTCTCAGCACCTACATGGCAGTTCACAACAAAGGGTCCAGCTCCCCATTTTGGCAGCCATAACAGCCGAACACGCGCTTGCCTGACCTTGTCTTAGTCACTAAGGTCAGATGCCTGCCCCTTTCAGCAGCCATAACAGCCAAACAAGTGATTGCCCTGACCTTGCCTCGGTCACTAGAAGGTGAGGCGCCTGCCTCGTGGCAAGGAACCAATCAGAAGTTAGCTGGTGGTGCTATGCTTTACGTGTCTCTCTCTCTCTCTCTCTCTCTCTCTCTCTCACACACACACACACACACACACACACACACACACACACACACCTATGTAAAAAGCCATATGTCTATAGCTAGAGAGAGATAACTGTGGTTAGGAGAGATTGCTCAGAGGTTGAGAGTGTCTATTACAGGTTGGAGAGATGGCTCAGCAATGGAGAGCACTTGTTGCCCTTGCAGAGGACGAGGATTTGATTCTTAGTGGCTCATGGCCATCTGTAACTAGTTGCAGGGATCTGACAACCTCTTTTGCCCTCTGCAGTCACCACATACACTGATGTGGTACACAGACATGCATGGAGGTAAACATCCATACACATAAAATAAAAAATGAATAAATCTTTAAAAAGGGAGGGTATATACTGTTTTTGTAAAATATCTGAGTTCAGTTCCCAGCACCAGCACCAGGTGACTCACAGAAGGTGGCTCACAGTAGGTGACTCACAAGACCCTGGACTCAGCCCTCTCTCTAGCCTCCTGGTTCACAGTGATTGCCCTGTGAGTGGACTGAGACTGTCCTGTGTTTGGGAGCACATTTCCAGAGAATTAAGTAAAGTGAGGGACTCCCTCCCCAAATTTAGGGGGCACCATGCTGTAGGCCTGGACTTGGTTGTAATAGGTAGAAAGCCTGCTAACAAGGCATATTGTCTGCATCCTGCTCACTCTTGTTGCCATGGACTGTGTTGCTTGGATGTGAAATGTCCCTCACAGGCTCATTTGCTTGAACAGTTGTTCCCAGTAGTGGGGCTGTTTGAGATATTGCCAATCCTTCAGGAGGAAATTGAGTCACTGGAGGGTGGTCCTGAAGGGTTTAACCCCAGCCCCACACCTGGTATCATCAGCTCCTCTTGGCTTCTTTAGTGCCACAGGAATGTAACCAGCCACTTACTTCACAGTCCCTGTACCAAGCTATATTGCTGGCACTGAGAATCAGAATCTGCCCTTCTTCAAGGTGTTTCTTTCAGGAATTTTACCATAACAATGAGAACGTTAACACAGACTGGACCTTCTGACACAGTGAGCCAAAATAAATTTCTTTCGGCATTTCTCACACACACAAACACACACACACACACACACACACACACACACACACACACACACACACACACACACCTATAGCAAGTCTTTCTCTGTGCTGTCAGCTCCCAAATAATGACATGGAGACATTAATTATGAAAGCTTGGAGTTAGCTTAGGGTCATCCCACTAGCTCTTATAACTTAAATTAACCCATTGATTTTAATCTATGTTCTGTCAAGCAGCTCATTACCTTATCTCTTTTTACTACTCTTGTTGCTTTCTCTGCATCTGGCTTGAAACACTGCCTTTCTTCTTCCCTAAATCCTCTCTGTCTCCAGAAGTCCCACCTAACCTCTAACTGCCTAGCTCTTGGCCATTTAGCTCTTTATTAAACCAATTACAGTGACACATCTTCACATGATGTGAAGGGCCATTCCACCACATTTCCCCCTTTTTGTCTAAATAAAAAGGAAAGGTTTTAACTCTAACATAATAAAACTATAACCAATAAGAACAATTATCAGGTAAGAATTACATTCACAATGCCCAATCCTTTTGTATTTGGCATATTTGTAGAAAATACTCTACCATCTATCTTATTTTGATGAATTTAAAGTTTTTACCAAAACCATTTTCTATCATAACTTGTATTACCATCTTTTTAGACCTCAAAACATTCTTAGACAAACAATTTAAGCTTTTATGTCTCTCAACCTTATATATTTTATACCTCTTTTGTGAAGCACAATCTCTCCCCCAGTGCAATACATTGCCTGACTTCCATTCTGAAGCCAAGATATCCCTAAAGTGTATAGGCTGGTTTAATTTAGCAGTCCCTTTCACAATCCAATGCCTCTCAGCAGCTGACATTCTCTGTTCATTAGCATTCAAAAAAGTCAAAGTCAATAAAGCACCATAAGGATCCAGACACACTGCTTATTTCCAATCTTCATGTAGCTTTTCTCTAAATGTTATTTTACTCTCTAAGGACTTTATTATTTTTGTTTGTTTGTTGTTTTCTTAGTCAGGGTTTCTTTGTGGCATTGAAGCCTTTCCTGGAACTCGCTCTGTAGACCAACCAGCCTGGCCTCGAACTCACAGAGATCCGCCTGCCTCTGCCTCCCAAAGTGCTGGGATTAAAAGCATGTGCCACTAACACCCAGCAGGATTTTGTTATTTTTAAACTGTTTTTTCCCCAGGACTGTCTATATTCATTTTTCTTTTTTTTCTTCAGCATCTAAGCACATTTTAAATATACTGTACCTTTTTAGAGGTTTTCTGTGTCTGTACCTGGCTTTACTAAGCATTTGCAGTGTTTTCTGACTATGTGAGACAAATCTTTTTTTTTTTTTGTCTTTTCCCCTCTATTACATATTTCTTTTTTTTTTCTTTTCAGATTTTTTTATTTGAATTAGAAACAAGATTGTTTTACATGCCAATCCCAGTTCCCTTCTCCCTCCCGTCCTCCCCTACCACCCCCCCAACTAAAACCCTACCTATCACATATCCTTTCTTCTATTCTTCCCCTGACTCAACCAAGGTTTCCTAACTGAAACCCATGTTCCTGGGGTCTGGATCAGTCTCATGCTGGTATCCCAGCTATCAGTCTGGGGAGCAAGAGTTCCCTGATGTTCAGGTCAGCTGTTTCTGTTTTCTGCAAATTTCAGGTCACCAGCCTGGTCTGGACCCCTTTGCTCTTCACTCATCCTTCTCTGCATCTGGATTCCATTTCAGTTCAGTGATAAGTTATGGGTGTCTGCTTCTACTTCCACCAGCTGCTGGA